CCTAACTTCATGCTCTCAAAGCACAGTCTCAAGAAGATAAGCTTTGTTGCATGCATGTCTTTAATTAGTTCAGGATATTCTGAACTCAGAAAGAAGGAATAATTTCCACAGGTGAAAGCTGTCAGGAAAATTCAACATTACAAAGAAACCTCAGTTCCTTAAAATTTTATCTACAAACCAACACATTCAGTGCAGAATCCCATGTCAGCATTTTATGCTCACTCAGAGGTAATGCTGTTAAAAAAAAAAAAAAAAAAAGGTATCTCATTGGTACTGTCTCATCTTGGAAAAGACTTAGGCTGTTGCCTGGAGTGTAAGCAGCAACGTAATCCAGAGATGATATGGTTTTATAACTAGGTCTGTGTGTGTTTCTTTACATACATATGTGTATGTGTAGGTATAAAAAAAGATTGACCCTCCTGCATTTTTTCTGGTTTTACCTGAATAAAAGCCAACTTTCACAGCAATATAAGATGACGGTCAAGAAAGTAATACACTGCTGATAACATGTTGCGGCTAAACTGACTGGCTGTTTTATGTAATACACTGGTTTTAAATCTTCATCAATTTGTGAGCCTCTAAGAACTTCTCCAGTGGAGCTTCAGCTCTTTCATTAATTCAAGTCTACTCATAACAGGTTTGTGCTCCTATCCTGTTTCACAGCTCCCTTAGTGGTCCACAAACCCTGGCATCTTTGGCCATAAACTTCTACTTTATGCATTAGAATCACTCCTCCCTCGTTTGGACAGAAGGTCAGAGCAAAATGAGATCAACTTAAGTCCTCAAAGTGAAAAAAATATTCAATTGCTTCCAAGCACAAGACAAGGTAAAGTTACAAAGTGTTATTTGCACAAAATCTATCATTTCTGGCAATTTATTTCAAGTGACTGTTTTTCAGGTATTTAAATAATAAGCCTTTTATGTTTTACCCAAGAGATATCATATGTTGGACCTTTTAAAATTTTAAAATACCAAGTTCTGTAAGATTCAATTAATTGTAAGGTAAAGCCATCTATATATCAATAAAATAAAACATTGTGCCACAGCTTCATCCTTCAGCTCATTTATTTTTTTCTTTTCTGGATTTTACTGTAAGTAAAGAAGTTCTTTGCTTACTGTAAGAATAATGTTATCTTTTCTTCTTCAATTAAGTTCATAAGACAAAAGTAAGTCTCTATAAAATTTAAGTAGCAGAGGACAAATGATTTCTAGTATCTCATCCCATAAAAGTGATTTTCTCAAAAATCGTTAAATATTAAAAGGAATGCCCTGAGGCAAATTTCCTTGACCTTCCTACATTTGTAAAACCATCAAATATCTTTGATTATAAATACAAAATCACCTTAAAGCAGAGTTCACATTAATCCATTATCATTCACATTCCTGAAACTGGACCTAGCAGTCAATTGGCAAGAGTGAATAGCGAGGTACACACATTAGCCTTGCAAACATGCTTCTTTGAAGTATCCGTCTTGATTAACATGATCTACTGATATTGTTTGTATGGGATATGAAGTTCAGCGTAAAAAGCGGCTAACACCAAGCCTCGTTTCACACCAGCTGAACTCAATCTAAGAGTGAACATCGCTTTCACAGAGATGACTCAGAAGGAACAGGCAAGCAGATGCTCCTTTTGGCATCTTGGCTATAGCACTTCACTGCACTCTACCTAGCAGGTGAACACTTGGAATTGCAGTAATCCCAAAGGTGGATCTGTGTGACAGAAAAAAGCGTAGATCTCAGTGCCACACTGTTTTCACTAAAAGTCCAGTGCAGATGCTGTGGGGTTTGGGACCAGATCAGTTCATGGAACAGATTCATTTGTGATGACGTGACTGCTAAACCCAAACCAAACAAGTCAGTAGCAGGAAATAGCCAGATACAGAACTGCCCCTTCTGGTGGCAGCTCTGTGGAAAAGCAGATAAAGCTGATAGTGAAACTGCACCCCAAGTCCATCACATCTGTGGTCGTCATCTCATTTCTGTAAATCCGATTCTTAATAAAACTTTCTAACTCTTTTTACTGATTTTGTAAATAGGTAGGATTTGCTTTTACCTTAATTTGATTTGAATTAAGTAACTTCCTAACATAGAAGTACACTTACTGTTAAAATCAAGATACTGAGATACCAATGTTCTTTAGCAGCACAGAATATTGACCCTGAGTATCCAGAGGAAAGCAAGGAACCTTATTCTTCAGGGGCGGTTTAGGAGCCATTAATGTAGGCAATGGTGTAGAAAATGCATCTTCTGGTGAAAAATAGTAACCAGAGAATCTCTCCATTGTAAAACAGGGCAGCTGGATCAGACTTGGGTGCCTGCAGATCTCAGTGGTAGTTTGTCACATCGTGCAACTGTGCTATTTTTACTGGAGATGTGCGGACAAGACTACAAGTATAATATCTTATAAATAAAACTCTAAACCCACCAATCCATGGTCCTTGAAATGGATTGAGTTCCCAACCCTTACAACAGTGAAATGGCAGAGTACTTTTGTCCATTTCACTGTAACATAATTTTGTGCTGAAATTCAACTATTCAAATAATCACAGGAATTAGCACTTAGCTCACAGATCACATATTCAGACAGCTTTTGTGATCAATACTGCTATCAATGTACGTACATATGTGTTGTCATAGATATCGCAGTGGTAATTCTTGTGTCCCCATTAAAACGTTTGGGTAGTTCATTCAGGGCTTGAAAGGAAGAGGCAGACACTTATTTACAAAGGAGCATAAAGAGATTATTCAAATCAGAGCAGAGATGACAAAAAGAGATGTTAAAAAAATTTTTTTAAGTTTTTAAAAGCAACTATAAAAAAACCCAACGACTCAGTATCAGGCAAGGCATGATCCTGGCGCAATTTAGCATACACAAGGCTGGTAGCCACTGTTATTTTTCCTTGTCCTGTTTGACTGACTGGGAACAAGATCAGACAGGCAATACATACACAATTGTTCTGTTCACACTGCAGCTCCCATAGTTGCAACCATCAAAACAGCACAGATGACTGTGGAAATGTGAGATTTTACCCACCCTCAAAAAAGTGAAGGAGCGTGAAGCCTACATAATGTTATACATAACGGTGTATAATCTTAACTCTGATACTCTACACTTTCTCTCCCTCTGGCTCCCCAAACAGTGAGCACAATTAATCTTTCGGTACTAAAACATCTGTTCTCTTAAAATCACATTGTAGTTGTTAATTGCAATTAAAGAAGGTGAGCCTTATCACTGTCAGTTGTTTACTTAATGAGCTATAATCTTTTCTTACGGGCTTAGTAGGATGCTGTTCTTAAATTTACAGCCAGGAATACAGAGCTCTCAAAGCCAAACAGAAAGCAAATGTAGAATTAAAACTGAAAATAACTTTAGAAAATTTCTGAGTTATTTTTCCAACTACCTTATCTTAAATGAAAAATTCTGAACATGCTTAAAACTGCACTCAGACTATACTCATAGGAACTCCTGTGTTTAAATCAGTCCTCTGCTAGTGCAAGTAGATATGTCATCAATTCCTTTTATAAATTAGTTATTTTTTAAAGAAATTATAATTTGTGCTTCTATTCTTATTGCTGTATTTGTTAGAAACCTTACTCTGACTTCCAGCATATGTTGCTTCTACTCATTTCATACGCTGACAATGTCCTCAAAGATAAACAGTTCTTTCTCTCTCATTAAAGTTTACTCTACTGACATATTTACAGCAAGCAACCATATGCTCCCTCCATCTTTATTTTTATAGGATCAGCAAGTCAGCTTTTTCTGTATGACAGGCTCATGTTTTTGCATCTGTCATACTTTGAAGAATGTCCTTCTGAGAAGTTATTTTCCTGCATTACCTTCTCGTAACACATTTATCTGAAACTGCACCACTGAATACAGTCCTGAATTTAGCATTCGAGTATGAGTTAACTATAATTTTTTGACCAGCAATGTCAAGTTATGCTGTTTCTCCACTTACTAAATTCCTGCCACCCAGTAGGTCTTTGCTCCGATAGTCTCCTTTATTATCCTCATTAAAACCTGGAGCAGAGCTCTTAATTTTGGGGCCACATCAAATTGTTTTAATTTCTACCTGATCCTTATTACTTAGTAGTTGTTTTTCTTTTTTCTTTTTCTTAACAAAGCTGAAGAACATTTAGATATTATTATATATACCTTTTGCAGGATTTCTACCTTTTCTGAACTTAAAAATATGGCTTCAAATATCAATGTAACTTAGCATTCTCAGGCCTCACACTAGAGTCTAAATCCCTAAGATCCTTATCACATTGAATTTCAATACTTACACTCCATTATATTCTATTTACTTTATTAAAATATATACTTTGAAATAGAGAGCCACAGATGCAGAGTTAGTTCTGCTGATCATTAAATTAAACCTAAAATGAATCAATATCTCTCTCTTAGGCTAAGGTTCTTTTCTCTGACCAATTCTTCCACGGATTCCTTACTATTTCTAAACCAACATAATGCTATGTCTTGCTAGTTTGGTTACAATGATGTGAAGCAATGATGTGCGCAATTACACTAGGATATAACTCACTCATACAATATTCACTCTCAATTTTTTCTCTGGGTAGATGTAACACAAAATGCTACAGGTTTTAAACTTTGTGTTTCTTTGTAGTCTACTGTAACATTAATAAAATGTGCCAACAACCACCTTTGATTCTAGCTTTCTTGAACAGTAACATGAAAGATACCTGTTCTTATACCTTCCAGCATCAGTCATAACCAATTATAACTTCTGTTTCTTAAATAAACTCTAACAAAATAGTTACCTATACAAATCCAGATATCAAGTGTGTAACATAAAACCGTTTTCATGCATAAAGCGCTAAATTCTGTTGGATTAAGATAATTTTTTCTTTTTTGCATGGAGGAGCGTATGAACACAGAGAACACCAACTACTCTTTTCATCACACACGTCGGTCTTGCTAAGTTCTCATTACTTAAAACTGAAATAAACTGTTAGTTCTTCTCATAACGCACCTTTAGGGTCAGCCTCACAACATTACACTCCCGCAGAGGGTTCAGTTTCAGCGTTTCTCCCAGGTTACTGCAGCCTGATGTTTGATGCTGCATTTCACAGCAAACACAGACACCATCACTGTCAAATTTGATCTGTGGAGAGAAAAAAAAAAACCAAAACAAAAACCCAAAAAGGTCAAAGTATAAATTAACAGAAATACACTTCCCAAAAATTATATTTACACTTATTGTGACAGTAATGACTACTAAATGCAAAATAGAAATCTCTATGCAGAATGCCCTGAAGCAGAATGTTTTCCATTGGCTAATATAAGCTATAAAACCAGGTAAAATATAGAAACAGGATAAAATACCAAAGAACAGTGTTACCTTTTATGCCTCTTTTTGAAAAAATATTTGCTTTACAGGGGCAGATGAAACCAGAGTTACTCAACTGAATAAACATCAAATCATGTCATCAAATGGGGACGACAAAAAATAATAGAAAAAAGTCAGAAAAAAAAGTCAGCAATCACGATCACAAATATAACTTATATTTACACATACATGGAAAAATAATTACAAAAGAAACCATGACATATACTTGAGAAAAGAGAACACAGCATGAAGAAAAAGTGGAGGAAGTAAGAGGTACATGCCATCTCATATGTATTTTTACTTTGGAAAAGGTTTGCTTTTTTTGCATATTTTCCTTTGTTCAGTCTGTCTTGAATACAATAAGCATTCAATGTTTTTACATTTTAAAAAGCATTATGCATTCAATTCTTCAAAGACTTGCATTAAAGCAATAATGCTAAGAATACTGAATCCTGATAATTCTCAAAGTTAAGATACCTATGAGTGATTCTAAAATCCCATTCAGCTCAATGAAAATATTCATTATACTGATTCTGACTTCCTCGTTAACCCCCCAAACCAAAAACCATAGCAATGTTTATTTTTCTGCTTCCTTCCAACAAAGGCTTTTTTAAAGCCAAAATTTAACTTCGTACATGTTTTTACCTGGCCTGTTAATATGAACTGTCATTGCTTTAAATTTTCTCACTTGGGTATTTCTATGCTTTGTCCATTCCCATTTTTGCAGGTTATTTAAAGGGCTAACACTGGGATACAATACCGTACTTCTCCAGGTCACCAGCTACAATTCAATCCAGTTTAGTACTGAGAAAAGTAATTAGTATAACATGGGAGTTCCTTGAACTATGAGTTTATAAAATACCAGATTCCAGGTTTTTATACTCCAATAATCAGTAGTAAGAATGACACTCATGAGAAACTTCCATGGCTTTTCATGTAAAGAATAAAAGACTTAATGTACCATTCAGGCATACTCAATCAGTCCTGCATTCTTCCAAGTAAAGATGGAAGCACAGTGGCTGGGTGGTGAGAGATCCAAATCACCATGTTACTTACTCTTTTACAAAAAAAAAAAAAAAAATTTCAAGACACAAATCCACAAAAAATTTCCTAATGCAAATACATTTTACTATTTTTAATTCAAATTCTCCCTACGACGTTGCCAATTTCCTGAACAAAAAACAGATAGCAGCATTCCTTGTAGAATTACCTTGCACAGCCTTATATGTAGGATCATTTCAACAGAATACTTTCTTACTGCTTAAGACGTTGAAGAATGTTTAAGTTGTTCATATAATCTTATCAGCTAGATATTTAAATATATATATATATTTTAGTGTCACCCCTATCAGGCTTATCTAGTACTCTGTTCATATGCCGGTGACCAGAACAGCAGTTGGAAGAGCAGAAATAAGAGTCCATTTAAAAAAAAACAAACATAAAAACTTCACCAGATGAGATGCAGATGAATGAATGCTTACAATATACAGTGATACATAAAAAAAATCTGAGTATGTAAATTACACCGTTTCCCATATACTCAAAGGCAGCACTGGAAATAGCCATCTATGGCAATTGACAGAGACTGGTCATATCCTAAACCATAGACACTGTAAAAGAAATAAAGAAAAAATATACAGTTTGAGCACCTTTAAAATAGTTGTGTTATTTCTAATTAACATACAATTTAATTCACAATCTGCCTTTAACAATTTCAGACAGTTGGGGTTTTTTTCAATTCCTGTAATCTTGTAATACCCTCTCTTGGAAAGTGAAAGATCTGAGCAAAACCCAACTACATGGTTTATGATTAGATAACCTCAGCTCTTCAAATCAACGGAAAATACAAAGCACTAAATGCCACTGGGGAAGTCTTGCTCCTGAACCTCTCTGCAAATAGCATCAACTGTTAGATAAATGCTACAAAGGAATTTCAAAACTTACACTTTCAATTTAGGGCTGTGTCAAATTCAGTGGCCAGAATGCTACAGCACACCTGCTACACCAGCACCTGACACAGAGCAAATCAATATCATCTTCAGCTGCTAAAAACTTTTTATAACAAGGAAAATGGACTTCAGACAAAGCTATCTACTGCAAGATCATTTGTTCTCCAATTCATGCTGCCCCTGTTCAATGAAAGACAGTCACTGATTCATGATGGGATGTATTTGACATTTCTAATATGAAATACAGATCCCAAGTCTACTTTTATCTCATGTAATGAATAGGTATTGCAGAAATAAGGCTAAAAAGAGAAATACTTTATTGGTCAAGATTCCCCATCTATGAGAGAATCTCCATTCATTCTGAAAGATGATCCATAACTTTGTACTGCCCAGTAACTCTGCTTCTTTAAGAACTCCATTCTTAAAAATAGTTGTAAGAAAATTGTTTAATGAAAGTTCCTGCAAAACATAGGGACATCTTAAAAATGACAGCATATTCAAAAACACCTAAGATTTGCAACCATACTGTAAAGCAAAACTCTATTTTAATCTTATACATACATTTTTTGGAGAGCTTTTAACAATTTGCCCCATTGTGTACATTTTCCTTCAAATGTTTGTGAAGCGACATCTTTGCTAAATTTTGTTTTTGTAATGGGGAGCAGTACAAAAGGCTGAGCATGTCATTGCATTCATGCTTTCAACAATACAGCCACTGAAAGCAGTTTTGAGCCCTCGTGCTCTAGAATGCTCATCCCTGCCCTACTGCTGTCTCACACTTGTGCAGACAGGATCAAGAATTCACACACAGCTATACTGCGACCTAAACATTGTCAAAACTAATTTTTCTTATTTTGTGTGGTTTATTTTCAGTCCAGACCAGACCTCAAATGCCATGCACTGTGTGGCTTCATAAATATAGACAGCAGCACAAACAACAGAGCTACATCAGTACAGGGAGGAGGAGTTGGGATTACTTCTTCCAGCTGCAGGGCTGGTGTTTGCCAGCCTCAGACACAATTACATCAGCAGTACCTCCAAAACTGTGTTCTTTCTCCTTTCTCTGCTGCATGACATCTCTTTGGTTGGCAGAGTACAAGAATAAAGCATCATTCACTTCATCCCCTGCACACACTCCCCACCATCAGTTTTCCTGTATATATTTGCATTCCACTTTGTGATTCTTACTCATGTTAGTAAGCATAATCAGTAATCACAGTATAGTTTGTGTACTTTCATATTTATGACAGTTGCACAGTACACCCTCATCCAAACCATATTTAAGATTTCAAACATCAGCCTGAGTTGTCTACATGCATAAATTGTCTTTTAAGTTTATTTCGTCTTGCAAAAAAGCAATTCTGTTACTTCAAAAGTGAAAAAAACTCGTTAAAATTTGACTTTTATGTAGCAGAGGATCAAAAAAGGATCATCCAATAACAAAGAACATAGAGAACTTCAAACTTATTAAAAATACATATATACATACAGACACAGAGCCTATCTTAGAATAAAGTAACAAAAACATGTGCAGACCAGACTTTTTTCATCTCTATCACTTCATCAAATTCTGTCTATGTATTAAAGGTGTCTTAACAAAGAATCACTGCTAAGTGCACACACATTCTCACCAAAAAGGGTAAATTAGGGATGAAGTAAGAGTGTTACTTTGCATTCTACCCTTTCCCTATTACAAATGTAAAACTTCTAGTAAAAGTAGTAATATATTTTACTTTTTTTTCTAAATAAACTTTCAGGGGTTTTAATACGGAACATAAAAACAGCAGGACAACATTTCAAAACAAAATATAAAACTTCAAAAGCTGAAAACAAGGCAGTGAAGTGCAAGAAAGCCTCACTGGTATGTTTATGAGAAAGGACTTTAGTCAATTACAGTGGCTTATAAAAAGAGAAAGAGCAGGAGGATCCAGCAACGAATGAAGTAGAGTGGTAGGGAAATATCAAGAGAAAAAACTGACAAAAGTGAGTAAGAACAACAAAAAAAAGTACATATATCTTCTGGGAATTTGAACTTTTTTTTTTTTTCCCCTCCCCCCCAATAAGCACAGAATTGAATGTAGCTACAGCACAAAATGGAATACCCAACTCTGGAACTGGGCTCTGCCATTCATCTCTACATGAACCTGCACTTGCTCTGCTTTTCCTTGCTTTGTCTATTCCAGCTAAACATAATTCAGGAAAAAAGGAGTCCTCCTTTATATGCTACTATAACCACAGGACAATTGCAGCTGTAAAACTGAAAAATAAATTATAAGCAATCTCTCTATGCAGAGATAGATTCAGTACTTTTCTGAATAATAAGCAGCTGTAAATTTGATTAAAACTAGAGCATTCATTTTTCAATTAATAAGCAACTTACAATAAGACAGGTACACCCAAGTAAAGGCAAATTAAGAAAAAAAAAATCACTGACAAAATTCTATCTTATGCAATAATATAATATAAACTATAGAAATTGCTCTACCCACACAGATTAAGAACAATTTTTAGAGATCAATTTTTTGAAAACGAAATTTGTAAGACAAAAATGTTTCTCGTACACACATTAATTAACAGCTTGAGTGTGTAACTGTTCTGTGCACATCCTACTCTCACTGACTTAGAGTAGTTTCTTGAGGTTTTGGCTGCAGGATCTACAGCTAATCATGGGAAAAAGAATCCAATTAAATTTTCATAACAAGCCATTAAAGCTACTTATGTTTTTTTGTTCTTCAGTGTTGTATGTTGCTAAGCTGCAGGATAAAGAACACAAATACTAAATTCACAAATTACATGTTCAAAATGCTAACATATGGTGAGCACTTT